CACAGATGGGACATGAAAAGACCCGAGGGTAGCAATGATGGATATTGTTGATTCGTTAAAAATGAAGTTATTGAGAAAAAAAAACCATGAGAAAAATGCTCCTGGAAAAATACTTATAATTTTTTCTATGATATGTTTATTTTGTATGAGAAAAGAAAAAAGATGACAAGAGCAAAAGACAGAAAAACAATGATATTAAAAAAACAGAAACCTCATAAATTATCCTTTTTCTGATAATTCAGCTATGAATGAATCTTTCCAACATTTCTATTTACTTTCAAATCAACTGTGCGAACACTTATTTTTTTATGATCTATTCATGATGAATACTTTGAAATGATTTATCAAAGCTGTTTCTCATCTGTCTGTGATCTTTTCCACACATTGGTGTCATCATGCACATATAATGCCTTTCTGAAATGTGTACTGTTGGTGCCACTATGCCGCATCTTTATATAAATGAGAACAATGCCTATATTTGATTTTTTTTTATTTAGTCAGAGTGAGAAAATAAAATATGAAATGATTCTTAATATTAAAAAAAAAGGTGTTATACATATGGCTAATTCATCTTTCGTCTTGACCACCTGTTCATTAGTTAAAAAAAGAAAAAGAAATAATGATTGCATAATTCCATTTGGTTCGGTCTGATAGTCATTGTCGACGAGAAATCAAGAGAAAGAGAGAGAGAGTAAGACACACACACATGCACATTCTCTTTTATTTCCCTCCCCTATTTCAATGGTCATTTATCATTTGTCATTCTCTTATGTTATTGTCTATAAATACTAAACGTCGTCTCAAGTAGTAATGTTCACGTGTTTGTACATAAATATATATATATATATGTATACTTTGAATAAAGGTCGATAGCATTCTATTGTTTGTAGTATTCAACATTGTTTTCATTTTTATTATCTCTCACTTTTCATTGATTTGTCTTGGGAGTGTGCGGTACGTTATAGGTTTTTTTTTCTTCTTTTCCTTCGTGGAACAATGCCGTTTGCTACTTGATACTCTTATTTAGAAGGTATGGCCTCAAAGAATAACATTATAGATAGAAGTATAAAAAAATGATTGACCGAGCAGCTGCAGCTTCAGGGTCAGCTACACAATCGTTGTGAGTCAATCAGCAGTTCGTTTTATCTTTTTTTTCCCCTATAATGGAACTAGAGTCAAGAGTTAATGGATAACGACGTTAGTAGAACTAAAAGAAAACGAGGAACGAAGACACACAAGGATAAAAGAATACATTCTTACACATACACACAAATCATAGACTCCTGTTGGACAGACGAAGGAGAGATAGTAGTCAAGATATGCAATTACCCATTGCCAGTCGAACCGAGCCGACCTTCATACACACATATGAGATCAACTACTGAATCGTAGGAGTGTTGACATATACGATGAAAGATGATGGATTGGTTTGAGGGACGAACCACTTTCGCCAATACTTTTCATAAATGAGTTGTGTATATACAAACATAAATGTATATATGCATCAATAAAAATACTATTGTATTGTTATACAAGGTAAGTGAACATAAACCAGAGACAATTTTTAGTAGTGTCATATGTATAATAAATAGAGAGAGAGAGAGAAAAAGAATCCTAATCGTTAACCTTTTTTTTTTTTATTACATAATTATGTTTTTACTGTGGAGTCAAGAAAACAGTTGCCAGAAGAGGATAACTAAAGACAAATAAACTGACATTTTTTGTTGTGAAGTGTTTAATATATGAAATAAGACGGGTAAAGTTACTTCTTTATTAAACAGTAAAGAGAAGATCAAATTTCAATTCAATGTTTAATATATACTAGAACACGTACTTCAATGACAAGTTCGTGAGAAAGTCTTATTTGTGTTAAGAGTTATTGTATTATATTAAATGATTTCGTTTTTTTTTGATCATATATGTTATATTTTTAGATTTAAAAAAAAACGAAGACATGATTTTACATTTATTTTTCTTAAACATTTTATTATTATTATTTCAATGGCAAATTAAACAAATATCTGGAGAAACTATAAGTGGTTGTACAATAAATAATAATAATCGACGAATAAACAATGATAAAACATCAGTTACATTATCTTGTCCAAATAATGGATATATTTTAGTTAGAAATTTAACATTTGGTGTACATAAAACTTCATCATTAGCAATAAAATCAACTTGTTCATATCAACTAGGAGATTGTACAACAAGAACAACATATATTGGTATGGAATGTAATGGACTTACAACTTGTCATCTAGATTTAAATCCACAATATTTACATATATGTAAGTAATATTTAGAATTTTACACAAAGTCAACGAAGTTTTAACATATAAGATTTTCTTCAATAGTAGGTATTTTTCTTTAATATTTACTGTATAAACTAATGCCGTTTGTTTTTGAAGATTGTATAGAAGTATCCGAGCATGAAACAAAGTCAGAGTCGTAATTAACGTCGGCTTTCTTTCCTATTCCTAGACGTCATTGGAATTTCTACAATGTATTAATTTCTACAGCAAATATTAGAGAACAAAACCTAGTATTCAAAAAAAAACATTTATATGTTAAAACTAAATTTTCAAGAAAAAAATTTACTTGACTTCCCACAAGGCTCTAGTGATATTTTATAGAAGATACGTCTGATGACGGTGCGAAAGTGTATTTTAAATGTTTAATTTTGTTTTTGAATTATCTAATCTTTATAAAGAAACTATTTCTTTTTTTCTTATATGAAACAGGTAGTCAATATAGTGATTACATGGTGCTTGATTATTCATGTTTACAAGGTCAAAGTATATCTGTTTGTGATAATCGTTTTATATCAACATCAATAAATAACGAGCATCGTTTATTTCTTCGTAGTCCAAATTATCCATATGAATATGAAAATTCATTAAATTGTTCATGTCAAATAAATACAAAAAATTCTCATATAAAATTTCTTGATTTTTATCTTGAAGAACGTGATGAAATGAATCTATGTTCACGTGATCATTTACAAATTGATAGTCGATCATATTGTGGTTCAACTATTGATGAAAATAATTCAATATCATCATTGATTTTATTTAATTCATCATTTCAATTAATATTTAAAACAAATGATGTTATTACTAGAAAAGGTTTTTGGTTAACAATTAATAGTGAGCAACCATTACAAGTATCATGTAATAATCTAATCGAATTGACTTCTACAACAACAATAACAACAATCACAACAGTAACAACAACAACGACAACAACAACACCAACAATAATAATAATTCCTTATTCAAAGTCAACTTTCCCAATTATTCTGACTGAATCATCTCGTTTAAATAATAATAATACTAATAATGATAAACGTCGCCATACACTTTCATATATTCTTATATTAACTATAGTTTTTGTTGTTATTCTTTTATTGTTAAATCTTATTTTAATTATACTTTGTTGGAGACAACGACGACGACGACCAAAAGAAAATATTAATTCAAAAACTAATAGAACACATCGACCATTTTTTTGTTCAATACGTTCATCAACATCATCATCATCATCATCAATAACATATGGTGAAACACCAGTTTTAACATCACTTGATACACAAAAACAACAAGCATTATCAACAAGATATATTTTTCAACCAAATTCACAACATTCAGAGACAACACCATCAACATCTACAACAACAACAGGTCCATATGAAGATCCTAATGAATCTATGACATTACAAAGATCATTTAAAAAAGATAAATCATCTGATAATCATTCAATTTACATGCAATATCGACCAACATTTTCTTCTCCTAATACTGCTTATAATCGAATGATTCATTTTCCACCTGCACCTATTCGTTGTCATTTTAGTACACCAGTGCAAACTTTTTATCCTCCTCAACCATTATTTGATTCTCAACATATCTATGAAACGATACAAGATGGTCAATGTCCATATCAACGATTAGCAGCTACACTTCGTCGACAACAACATCCACAGTGTACATGCTATTGTGAAAATAATGAACAAATATATCCAACAAGAACTCATAATGATGAAAATTTAAATACTCTATCAAATCCGGAAACACTAGTCTGATAAGAAGCAGAGATAAGATTTGAGGCGAGTTTTTTTTTTATTTCTTTGTCTTGCCATGTTTTAATATTTTTTGTTATTGTCTTTATTTGTGTGATGAAATGAAAGATTAACAAACATTTTTTTTTGTTTAAACAAAACAAAAACAATTTATATACTATACAGTGTCGGACAAAGGTTTACAAGAGTTGTATTTTTAAGTTTTCTTCTCGATACTAATAGTTAGTAAGACTTGAAAATAATAATTGTGTAGCTGAAAGGATCCTCTATTAGGATTGGTAAGCCAGAAGACTTTAGAAAATCCACTTGTATGAGGATCTGCGAAAAGCTCAGATCTTCATAATCAGTTTTTTGGCTTCCATTTGAAGCTTTTGGAAAAAATTTTTATTTTCTAGAGCAAAATGAAATGTTTTTGATCTTTCTATGATTTTTCTTCATCAAGCTGCATTCAATTTACAAAAGGATCTAAAGCATTAACCAGAGCAATAACATTGAAAGTTTCAATACAACACACGAGAAAAAAAAATGCTTTCTGGACTTTCTGTAAGCTGAATACAGTTTGATGAAGGAAGGCCATAGAGAGATAAGAGACGTATTGTTTTGCTCTATCTAATATAGTCTTTTCTCAAAAGTTTTGTATAGAAGCCAGATTAGCTACTTATGAAGGCCTTGATTTTCCGCAAGCTCTCACCCAAACAATTCTGCTGAAGCCTTCAGGTCTATCAATTTTGATAGAATATCTTGTCAGCTATACAGATGTTTTTTCTCAGATTCTGACTAGTTATTACCATCGAGAAACAAAAACTTGAAAATACAGCTACTCTAAACTTTTGTTTGCTACTATAAATTATCAATCGTCTATACAATAATATTTACTTTTATTAACAATAGAAGATTGAAAATTACTGTAAAATAAAATCTATACAGTAAAAAAAAGTCTTTTAATATATTTTCCATGTATCCATTGTCCTTCGAGTTTTGTTCCATAAGAAGAATAATAAATACCATTTCCATGTAATTCTCCACACAAAAATTCACCTTCATATCGATCACCATTTGCCCATGTATATACACCTGTACCTGTACGATCATTGCTTATCCAAGTTCCAACATATTTATCTCCATTTGGCCAGATATATGTTCCTTGACCTTCACTTCGACCAAATAAATAACCTCCAATATATTGATGACCGTCAAATGATGTACGCGATCCTTTATCATATAGTAAACCATTAACAAATCGACCACGATAAATATCTCCATTACTGACACAATAAATACCTTCACCTGTACATGTATTATTTAACCATTGACCAAGATAGATACTACCATTTGACCATTTATATACACCATAACCATGTCGTTCTCCAACATCATTGAATTCACCATAATATTCATCACCAATAGAATACTGTAGTCGTTTTGCTTCTGACATATTAAAGATTAATTTATATCCTATTCTTTACAGAAAGATCAATTTGTAAGAATGTTTGATAATTGGATATACTAATATTTGAAATTATGGCACCAATCTAGTTTTTTTTTAAAGAAGAGAATAGATTTGATGCATGACGAAGAAATAGAAAAAAAACTACCAATAACAATCGACTGTAAGAAAAGATAGGAAAATTCCCACAAACATGACTAATCTTTAAAAAATCCAACATGGAAGAACGATAAAAGAACACATGAATAACATCGTACGTGCTTAGTGTACAAAAATTTCGTAAAAGAAAATGCCAATTACACTCGTTTGTAATATCTATTAAACCAATTTCAATAAAATAAAAGTCAGATTATTATAGAAATAATTCTTGCAGTAGTAAAACATGTTTCACCAATTTACAAAAAAAAATGAACTACGAAATCAAATATTACTTAATAGAACATATAATGCATTAGATTTATTCTTATATTTCTACTTGATTGAAGAAGAAATCAAATAATTATTGCAAATCAATATGATTGATGTTTATTTAGTTTTAACGATCATGAGAAAACATATGATCGACTTTAACAGTCAAAATTCTCTTTAAGTAAAACAAAAAAAGAAATTTTAAACAAGATATTTTCCATCACCAAATAAACATGTATCATCATCAAGTATAGTTATATTTTTAAGATCAATAAAAACATCAATATGAAATCGTGTTTGCTTGGCTTTAATAGCACCTGTCTTATAAACATTATGCTTTTTTCCAAGACTTATATGCATACCATGATGACGTTCAAATGCAGAAATATCTGACACTAATGCTGATTTACCCATACCTAAATAAAATATTTAGTGGAAATTAAATAAAAAACAAAATTAATTCATACCTTCATTTAAACCTAAACCAAATTCACGAACACAAATTTCACCTTCACCATCTCGAATAAGTGTTAATAATTGATTAAATGTTTCAGTTGAATTTTTTGGATAAATACCATTTTCAGGATCAAATTCTATAAGACCATTTTTAATCGTTAATACAATTGGTTCAGGTGGTATTTCCAACGTTTTAGCTAATGATGGATAAGACCAAATGGACATTTGTCCATTTACTTTGGATAAATCACGTGCTTCAGTAAATACTTCTCTATATATATATATGTTTTAAAGAAACCAACTTCAACGAAATTATTCTTCTTAGAATCTTACCCAATTGGATATGTACCACCAATACCTGACATACCCTCATAATCACCAATATTTAATTTACAATCATTCATACCACCAGTATATTCACATATACTACCATCGTGACATTCAACCTATGAAATGATTTATAGATTAGATAATTTTCTTCAATAAAAAAAAAAAAAACTTTACTAAAAGACTTTGACATTTATCTAATTTATCTTTAATACGTAAAGCAAGATCACGATATTTCACAGGTGAAAAAGCTAGTGATTCAACATAATTTTTATATTCTTCAGGTTTAATTATATTTAAATGAAGATGTTCAATAGTTTTTATATTTCGTTTAAATAATTCAAGACGTATTCGATATTCATTTAAACGAAATTGTTGAGATTGAATGAGAATAACACAATCGTTTGATTTTAATGTTCCTAAATGAGATAATATATCATCAGCTGTATGATGATTAAAATTTGTAAATTTCATATTTGTATGTTCATTAGTTATAGCTGCATAAGCAGCTGTTAGTATTCGTGTTAATTCAACATCTTCATCAAATAATATATAGAGACTTTCCGATGGTTGAATATGAAATGAATCATGTAAAATAGCTCGAATATAGATTTTTGCTCGATCAACTAAATTTTCAGCTTCATTCGATAATTCTTTTGTTGATATATAATTCGAATTAATTAATGGTGATTTTGTTTCTATTGTCATTTTGATTTTCTACAATAAGAAAATCCATCTATTATATACTTTTGTTCTATAAACAACAACAACAACAAAAAACAGATTCGAACAATATATGTATATATATTTTTTTTTAAAGAGAGACAAAAACAAAATTTAAACAAATCGTCGTCGTTTAATTGCTGTTGGTGTTGAAGAATAATCATTTTCATTACTATTATTATTATTAGTATCATACATTTGTGTCCAAATATAATTAAATGAACGTTTATTATCTGTTTTCATTGATTGTGGATATGTTTTAACTTGAAAATAATCAGATGGTGAATGACAAACAAATGACAGTGAATTTAATGAACGTGGATATTCTTCATTAGGTCCTTTACAAAAAAAGAAAAACAAAACAAATCATAACAATAATTTTAAAATTATTGAAAAAATTTGTTTTTTTTTTACCGATTGAATAAGCATTTGGATCAAAATGAAAATTATTTGTTGATGTTTTTATTGATGTTGGTAATAACCATGTGAGAAAAGCAAATGCATTGACATGTTCATCTTGAAATAAAGCACGAATTTGAGCATAAAAACATGAGAGATTCGCATCAATTAAATATACAATATCACCAACTTCAAAACGACGTCCCTATTAAAAAAAAACAAAGATGATTTCTATTTAAATATTTTTCTTCTTCGATTTGTTTTACTTTTGAATATAAAACATCTGAAAGTTTAAATGTTGTTGATTGAGATAAAGATTTTTCAGGCTAAAATAAAAATTTAAGATATTTATTTATTTATTTAGTTTATCTTACTTTTTTTGATTTAAATGCAAGAGTTTTTCTATTTGAACGTAATAACGGTTGTTGTCTTGTAGAAATTTTTATTGATATTTGAGATTTAATTGGTTCAATAATTTTCGATCGCTTAGTTTTTGTTATTATTGATGAAGAAGTTGATGATGATGATGATACGAATTGTTCATCTTTATTTATTTGTGTTGAAAAATGAAAACGATTTTCAAATGTTGATAAATCTTCAATATTTGTATCGATACGTTTTAATTTACAAAATTGATTCAAATTTTTTGAATCATTTAAAAAACAATTATTACATAGAAGAACATCACGAGCTGGTACACGCCAATAAACGGATGTCATCGTATCGCATTGACGACAGCGTGGTTTACGTGGATCAATTCTTGAAGAAAAATAGAAAATATTACATTAAGACCAAAAAAGCAAAATATTGAACAAACAAAATATAAAACTTACGTTGATTGTTGATTAAATCGAGACATTTTTAACGAGAATTTTATCTCGTTTGTTAAGTAGAAATAAGTTTCATTAAAAATGTACGATGTCTATGTGAGAGCCTTTTATTCTATAGCTGAAGATTATCAGAACCAATTAGATTTGGATATTTATTGCACGCAAGAGGGCGCTGATTATTAATAAAGTCAATAGTATTTCTAATGTCTGTCGAATGTACCATCAAGTAGAAGTAAGGTACCATTCTCAATATACATGATTGAATAAAATAACACTTTGTTTTCAACATGGATTTTTTAAGAAGAATTATTTAAGGTTACTTTGCATTTTTCTTCTATTCTCCAATTTTACTTCAATTATGAAAGGATAGAAAAAGAACAGCAATGTGTTTTTGTTTGTATATCACATTCTTGTATTGCTTAAAGGTACTTTTTTGTTAAACATAAAGAAATAAATTTTTCTTTCTTATCATCTAACATCTATATCCTCGAAATGGCTAAGAAATTAGCGATTAATCGTGATACATCAAAACGATAGTAGTGAGTTGAAACGTGATAAATCGTGTTTCTATGATCGATTATTATCCTTCATTATATTGATAAGAAAAGTAGTTTTGTTCATGTAACCTTGATTTCTACTGTTATACTAAGCAGTTCCGCGTACTAATTTATTTTGTCGAATTTTCTTATTCAAAAATTCATCGCTTACTTTATTCTACATGAATAAAACATTTTTAAAAAGTGATGTGTCATGCAATTTCACATCGTTAAATGAGAATACAGTTGAAAAAGAACGTTTTTATGTGTACAATGATGTTTTGAATTGGACTTTTCTTTAAAGTCACTTCATGTATATTTCTTTTTTTTGTTAATGAAGTAAAAATCTAAACAGAAACAAGTAGCAGCAGTGACAAATCTAGAATATTTATAATAGGGGACGATCATGATCATAAAACAGGTTTTTAAGTCCATTAGAGGTAGTATCAACTCATTTTTAAGCTTTTTCTGCTATTAAAAATCGAGACAAATCTTTCGTAAGCGGCACGATCGCTTTCTCTTCACATCTACTTCTGAGCAGAAATCGTAACGAAAAAGCAGGACTAAAACGATGATGATGGAAGATGCCGTTTTGAAGAAAAAGAACAAATTTTGCAACTTTACGTTATGGTAGGATGGAATAATTCTTTTGATGTAAATGTAATGTTCACTTTGATCGTAATTATAAAATTGTTTAATTTCATTAATGTCATAGTAATGACATCCATGGTGAAACCTTGTTTTTCTTTTGGTTTCAGATCTCTATGATTGTACTTGACTCTCAATTTTATAGAATTCAAATATTTCTCACATCAATTCACGATTCATAATCAGCTATTAAAATTAGTAAATAAATTCGATCTATTCAATCTGATTTATGGCCAATTCTTGAAAACTCGTTACTTGTGTTATAATCATGCTTTTACACTGATGTTTTTGGTAATCATCCAAATCATCACTATTTTGATGACATAGGTACCTTACTTAAAAGACTTTATTGTTATACATTTTAGGAAACTCTAACTATGATTAGATGTGTTAGCCGCCGATAAAATTTTCATCCGTCGCCACCGATCGAGTGAAAGGTCACAGTTCAAGCTTCCTCTTTTTCTAAATTATCACTTGTTGATAATAATCAGTAATATCTCAAGTTTGATCTATGTGATAATTAGAGATAGCTGAAACCAACAGAACTTGTAAAAAATAGGAATTAGTGTATTTTTTCTTGGATGACATATGGTCTGAAAACCGAGCTGATAAGCAAATATGTCTCCTTGTGATTTTGTGACGCTACCATATTTATTAGGTT